GACACTCAGGTTTGGGAATGACTCTCTGCCCGTTTTACTCATCTGCAACCTCTACACTTACTCATCCCCCCTTCCTCCTCACTCCTCTCATTCCCTCTGCACATCTCCCTCCCCACCTCCACAAAGCGCTTCTACCAGCTGCACTATTTGAGATACCCCTACCGTAAACTGCTCACTTCCACCAACACAGAAGCTACTAAAACATCGAACCTTGGCTCCCCAAGACTGCCTCGGTCATTTTCTTCCAGCTCTAGTTTCTTCTAGAAAGGTTATCCCAACCACAGCCAAGACCTGTCCACCTGCTCCGAGGTACCACCACACCAGGTGAGCGGCTCACACAGCCATCCCTTGCACCACAGCCCTCACCTGCAGCAAAGACAAGTCTATGGCAAACAGTCTGAATGCCAGGATTTTGCTCCGGCAGCTGACCCGGACTGAAACGAGTCAGAGAGCCCTCACACCAGCTGACCAGCGCGGTCTGTAGGATGGAGGAGCAGCTCCCATCCCAGTAGGTCAGAAGCTTCAGTAGCTGCAGGTTTAGCACCCACGCTGTGAGATGAGGAACTGAAACGCCAGAAGGATGATGAGAATCCATGACTGGATAATGAAGAGCCAAGCTGCTTGCGCCGTTTCGGGGCCAAAGTCAGAAGAGCGTTTAGTAGCAGTTCTTTTATTTCAGACAAAAAGCCCGAGCCATGAGAAACGTGTGTTCAAAGGAGCAGAAGTAAAAGCTCAACTTTAAGGCAAACACTGCAAATTGAAACAATTATTCAATGTTGAAATCAAAGGAAATTATCCCCTCACGTCTTATCCTTCTGAGCAGAAAAAAAGCTCTCAAGGAGAACGTTTCCTTCAGTTTCTCTCCAGCGTAAAAAAAATAAAATAAAAGATTAAGAGACATTCTAAACCCTGAGTTATCTCATTAATGGTACAACTGGCAAGATTAACAGCAAAATTTAAACAACTTCATTATTATTTAATTGCTTTTAAAAATCTATTGCCTTAATATTTATAATTGTACTCTTTAGATTAATAATCCTGATTTGCCACCTCCCCATCACAAACCATTTCTCATACTTACCCAACTTCCACAGAACTTCACAAAGAAAAAAGGGGAAATACATCTTGAAAACTTCTGAAGTAAAAAGGAAAGACACCATGCGCACCCATAAATTATTTTTTATTTCAAATCCAGCTCTCCATTCACACTGTACATGAAACACAGGCAATCCCAGAAGCATTCAGGATTGGCAACATTCACTAAATCCCAAAACTAAAGTCATCACATGGATGCCAATGTGCCAGATAAATACAGACTCTAAACTTCAGTAAACTGGAGAGACAAATAAAAAAAAAAAATCACAAGTATGAAGGAACAAGATTCCTACAGTCTGTTAGAACGATATAATTCAGAGCTATACCCTGCTGAAAGAACAAGCAGCCCAAAAGTCTCATGGATTCTCTCAAATTCCAATTTCCAGGCAGATCGAGATGGCCCAGACCCTCTTTAAAAAAGCCAGAGCCAGATCTCTGCACTTGTCCAAATTCTCTCTCAGGATTCATTGGCAAAATCCCATTAATCCAACCAAACCTCTTTCTGCTGCCAAGATAATTCTGCGACTTTTTGTAAAGCTAATCAACCAAAATAGTATTTTCATCCCAGTAACATTAAGCCATCAAGGCTGAAGAATACATTGGCCATCAACTGTCAATGCTGCACTCAAATTTGCTGAAAGTGGACAAAGTTGGCAGAATATTTTGCCCTTGGATTAAGACCCCATAGCCAGTCTCCAGGCATTCAGGCATATGCTCAACCACTTGTTTTAGTGAGTCCTAACTCAAAGAGCGAGCAGCTCCTCACTAGCCGATTGTGTACAGACTGACGCACATGTCTGCATTCACACACTGGCTTCAACAGCATCATCTGCAGCACAGAAAGTTAAAACACACACAAATGTTTTCCACAAACCAGTCTTAAAATGCCTGGCAGTAAAGCCATCAGTGCAAGGTGACAGTGTTGTCTCTGAATGATGCCCAGATAAACAAATCTGAGTATCAGTTTGGACCTCAGAACGGCAGGTTGCCATGGCAAGAAAAAGCAGAGACACATGACTCTCTGCAATTAACAGTATTTGTTTCTAAAATCTGGCAAACTATGACCAAAAATTTAACAACACTTTTTTTTTTTCATTAAAAAGCTTTTTATTAAAAAAAGTTATCGAATATCTGTGCACAGTTCATAGTTAAATGTCTTCTTTACTCTGAGTTGGTTTTATTTGAATTCAAACATTTTACTGACTTGTTTTATACATTTTTTTCTTTAAAAATCCCATAAGGTAAAAAAACACACACACACATACACAAACATAAATACAGGAAACTGTATTTCTCAAGGGTTTGGTTTTTTTTTTTTTCTTCCTCTTTGTCAAGAAGTGCAATTTTGCTTCCATGGTGTTTAAAAGTAAAACAGTTTTATCCATCAGTAAAACAATACACTACACTAAGAATTGCGCCAGACACCTCAATATATCTTGTGTATCAGCTATATCTGGCTTTTCCTATGCACTGCTTCAGGTCATGAGAGATCTATATGAAAATTATGCTTACAGTAACTCATCTTTACCAGTATGGGCAGGTCAGTAAATGTACCTACGCTCTGTGCAATTGGCTCTGACTGTTGGAGAATGGAAGTCAATAATATCTACAATTATACTAGCGAAATGTTTACATCTCCTGTAACTGTCTTGCTTTTTGTATTTTACATACAAATGTATGCTCTGCTTCAAGCCTCTGAGACTGTATGATTATACTGCAAGTCTATCATGGGAATATATTCTCAAAAAAATACATAATTTAACATAGAACTCTGCTTTTTATCTCACTGAACTTGATTATTCCACACATCCTTCTGGCCCCACTTAAGACAACAGAACTACTCCTTTTTTTTTCCCCCCACTAGCACCAACATGTCAACTCCAGGGGGAATTTCATAAAGAACTCAGCTTTAGGTTAAAATTTTCTTTGTTGAAGGCAGTGAGCTGTGCTACTGGCTTTGGAACGATTTTCAAAAGTTTTCTAGATTGATTCTTCAACATTTTGAGAAAAAAAGACTATTAATAGATTAGGCTTTCAATTACTCCAAGAACAAGGTTCCTCATGACCTTTCAGCTGCAGCTGAAAGACACTCTCTACATCTTGTCATTTGTCATAAAAAACTAGAAGTCCATTCCCTTTAGCATCCTCAAAAAGACTCAAGTTTTATTCTGATTTGCTAATTTTTTCCTTAACAGAGTGCTGTTTTATGTGAAAAAGTAGGAAACACCCAGATTACCTGATGTTTTAAGCATTCACTTAGGAAAAAGATTTACCTGCTCTGAGACAGAAGGCTGACTAAACCTACTGAGCAGACCCGTTATATTTTAGCATTTAAAGCTAGAGGGAGAAGAGTCAAAGTTTATATTTAAATGCAAAAACATAAGGCATACTGCTCTCTAACTTGACGTTTCTAAACTTGAAATAGAAGTCTGCAGTATCTGTTGTACCAAACAACAGAAGTTAAAGCTTGCTTAACCACTTCATTCTTACAACTGCTACTACACAAAGATCTTCAAACCTAGAAACAATAGAAGGACAAGCACAGCAATGACGTGGACGGTGATGGAAAGAACTAACCAGCCATCCTGGAACTAATGCGTCACGTAACTCAACTGCAAATGGCATACTGGGCAGTGTCTTACAATAAGAAGGCAATTCCTATTCAGATTTTTACTTACAGGTACAGGACTGTAGCATAAAAGCATCCAGCTTCTTAAAAAGAGGAACTGAGAAGCTCTGACAGGCCTAGTTCACTCCCAGAGAGACTATACTGAGAAATCAAGCTGTAACACTCTACCCTCTAGCACTTCCTCACATAATAGCAGGCACAAATTATTACAAGATTAGTACCTACCCCAGAAAATCTTACATGAAATGGATGGACATATCTTTGTATGAAGACAAGTATTTCAGAGTTTGGACTGCAAAAATACAGCGCAAAAAACAAAAAGAATTCTGAAAAACAGTTTTTATCTATGAAAAACTCTCAGAATTAGCGAAAGGGATTATAAAGACAAGGTATGGTGCTAAGAAGTGGTTTGACAAGTCAATAATGGGTTGTTTCCCTCGTAGAGGTTTACGCGTTTCACACCAGCATTTTGCTTCATGTTGTTACAATATTTTTATGGAGCGTTATTTAAAAATAATATTTCAGTCAGAAGTCTAATTTAGAATTCATCATGTTTTACCCTAAACGGCCACTTGGAATGCTGTGAAACATGATTTGCAGCCAGAAGCACCAAGTACATAAATTCTTCCACATCAAAGGAGTAGTTTGTAAATTTTGGATGTTCTCCCAGTGTTGGGTGATGTCCCTAGAAAAATCAAATAAGGCCTTTTAGACAGAAAAGAAAAATTCAGTACCTCTTCCATTCAAAAAGCAAGAAAAAAATTGAGCATCTGCCATTTTAATTTATTATTTCTGATTCACTGATCTGCTCCGAAGCAAAAGAGTCTGCAAAGTAACTGCGTAACAGCGATGCTATGGATGGCTTGGATTAATGGCCAATTAATTTCATTTCTCTCCTTCCCTCAGCCATTAATATCAAATGATTTCTTAATCGCAGCAGGGAAGTTAATTTCGTCTAAAGAATGAAAACCATATTTCAAATATCACAACACAGGTAAGTAAAGCAACCTAAGCTTTAAATGCTTCAAGTTATAGCACCCCACCCTTCCACCAGTGGCCATCATTACCCGATCTTGGGGGAAAACTTTATTCCTTTTTCGCCAAGTGATGTAGTGAACGCCTCTCAGTCTTGCCAAATCCAGATAACAACGTTCATCTTCACAATTGTATCTAGAGGCAGGCAGAAAAATCATATTTACCGAAACCACGGACAAACTCTGCTCCGCTGAAAACAACAACAACAAGGGCTACCATCTGTTCTTAAGATGTAGCCTAGAAGGCAGTTTGAGGCACATCTGCATGGCAGACATGTTCCTGTCCAGCTGCAGCAGCTCTTGGACATGGAAAAAAAACACAAACCTGGGTTTCTGAACTTATTTGGAGATTGGACAAAATACTCTCAAGCCAAGATAATGCTGCAAAGCACCAGCTCCACAGCCTTCCCACAGCACGGGCTTTAAGCAGAATTTCCCAGGAATTCAGTGCTCTTCTCAGAAGCGTGCTGCATGGTTTTTTTAGTTCTATAGAACCGGAGTGTCTACTAACAACCATACGTGGCAACAAAATATGTTTAGAAGGAAGCTACTAGAGAAATTTAGGTAAAACAGAATGACACATAGCAAGCTGGTGCTCTTGTCCTAAGCATAGAAAGGAATATATATATATAAAAATATATATAACCTTCAGAGGGATCTTTAAGATGCTGGATGTGCATCTTACACAACCAATTCATCTGGATCACCAAAATATGATTAAATCTCAAATTCACTAAGCAGAATTTGATCAGCAAGGCTCTTTTTTTTTTTTTTTCCCCATTTCCCCAAGCAATTGTTGACCAGGCTGCATTTTATTTATGCCACGGCATCTCAAGAAATCACAGGCTAAACCTGGATGATATAGTTACGGTATATTTTATAATGAAAGCTCCTTCACTTTCGATTCCCAGAAGAAGAGATGGTCAAAAAAGAAGTCTAGATGAGGATGCAAGACAAACATTCATAGTCAAATACTAGCAAGGGAGAGTGCTTCATTAACACACAAGAACAGACACTGGGAGCTGCATGTAAAATGGAGGGGAAAGAGAGAGAAACAGACTTACAGTTCAAAAACAACAGCCCAGTCTGGTAGAAAGAGCAAATGGGTAAGTCCAGCTCCATGCATCCCAATGAATATATCAGAGTTGTGAGTAATTCTCAATTGCTCTGAAAATTCAAGTTCCCTGCAGACAACACAACAAAAACGGTGATCTGGCATGCCTATCCATCTCAACAAGAATTAGTTACATGTAGAAAGCGCAAAATTAACTTAAGGGAATACTGAAAGAGAGAATTGATTTTTCAAGGAACAATACAAAGAACCACAAATGCTGCAGCCAGCAATAACTCAGCATGGAATTAAAAGAAATGCAGACAGGTTTCAAAACTTCATGAAAGTCTCTTCTGAAAATTTGATTTTTTTTTCCCCAAGTTAAAGTTTCTGTTAAGTTTGGGGTTTTCTTTACTTGCCTTTAAAAAAAAAAAAGCATCACCTCCTTCAAAAAAAACAACACCACAACATAAAAGACCTAAACTCTTTCTAAAGTAATGTAGAAGTATATAATTCCTGCCTAAAGATGTGGATATCCAACCTGAACTTATGCATAGAGCATCAAGCAGAAAGGAGACCGGGCTTTTTTTAGCTCCTGGAACTGTCACTCTCGCCCATCCTTTTACTGTAAGCTCCAAATAAAGTATTCTCTTCAAATAGCCAGGTGTTTAATGAGCACATAAGGAAAGAATGGACTAAAGATACTCAATTGTAAGAGAAGACAGACAACTAAAATAAGCAGTTTCATTTGTGTAGGAACAGTTCACTCATTAAAAAAGAAGAGAATAATGCCCTCTCTGATGATTTGGAAGAGAAAAAAAACTGGTTTAAGCTGCACTAAGAAAGTTTAAACTGCTTAAACTGCTATCAGGGCAGACCCCAGGAAAACCCTTCTAACTATGACAGCGATACTGCAGGACAGCTGTAGAAATCTGTAACGCTGAATGGCACTACTAACAGTTTCAAAAGCATGGGAATTGTGGAAGTACCACTTGGTTGTGCTTTCAGTGGGATGGTCTAGATGCCCCCTCAAGGGTATCCACCCTCTTTTCCCTTATTAAACTGCTCAAGTGCTTTCATTGGCACGGGAATCAGAAGCAACTCTTGACTTCCTCACACTGTCTCTGCTTTGGTCAAAACACTGATCTCTCACTGCTGCTCCCGTTTCTCATTCTTCCTGCGTGATCCATGACAGCACCACTGAGTAGATGGGAGCTGCTGCCATTTGGCACGGGCATACGCTACTTAAGAACTTTTTCTTCAACCCATTTCTTACTGGGACAGTGCCTACTACATTCGGGCACCACAAACTGACATCATGTGGTGTCTTCAGGGGCCACCAGAGCAGCACATAAGCTGAGCTACTACTCATTACTAAACCAGAGGTCATATAAAATAAGACACTAGCGTCATACAAGAGAAATCTCTGTTGACCCACAGTTACCGCAGAGCATTAGCGAATCCAAAAGGGTGATGGGAACACAGCTGATTTTAGGAGAGGGGAGGAAACAGAACGAAGAGTGATTTCAAAATTTTCTCATCACATAGTAGTTTTGACCTGAGTCTACTAACTCTAGAGATTCATTCCTCAGTAGTGCATCATAGGATGGGAGCGCTTAACTAGCTCACCCACCACTCCCTCAGCAACATTATTCCTTCCTTACCAGTTCTTGGATTTTGCAAAGGTTAGACACTGGGGCACACACGGCCTTGCCTGCAAACAGCTTACACCAGCCATACACAGCATGAGATCACACTAATTTCTTCTATCAACTTACGTACTTGTATTTGTAGTCTACCACTTTGACCTCCAACGTTGATACTGTTTTCAAAGCATTCACGAGCTAAGGAGAAGAATAAAAAGGCAATGATTTGGGGTTCTCCTTCAATTCGTTCCTTCCCTGCACTCCTGACCATGTTACACACTCCTCCTCCCCACCAGGGAATTACGACGAGTGAGACAGAATATACTGTCAGTGCCATATAAAGGAGCAGTTCTCCTCCTTTTGTGCCTTCCCACCTAAGATACTTATGTTATTCCTGGAAGAGCAACTCCTGGAGAGGAGACGAAGATCTCCTGCACTCTCACAGAGGCTACTGTTGACTTTTACATGCTGCAGAACCCAATCCTAAACCACTCGAAACAGCAGGAGTTTTGCCAGGAACAGTGGGAAGATGTGGTTGGATTTCCAGAACATATTCCAATACCTAAAGAAGCAAATTGGTGCTAGAAGGATTTTCAAAAACACCTTCCTAGGTCAGACTCCTATTGTCATGAGAAGTGAAGCCAGGGTAGAGCCTGAGCCTCTAACCTAAAAGGACTTTTTGTAAGTCTCCAATCTATAGCCACCAGCAGAGGGAGAAAGAGCCAAGTATTTTCTTTTATAAAAGCGTAGTAAAGATAAGATTAACTTCTCCCTTTCTGTCATGTGCTCATTACCAGAAAACACACTACAGGTAGCAGTGTGGGCACGCACTGCAGACAGCCTAGCAGGTAAGGCACAAATCTAGCCATCTGTGCTCTGTCTGTTCTGCCACCGAGCTGTTGCACCAAACAAGCCTCAGTTTCTCCCTACATAAGGCAGCAACGATAATGCCAATCCATGTTTGTCAGGCACTAGCAGCGAAGAGTGAAGACAGGTATGAAAACATTAGATATTATCATTTTACCACAAGAGAAGCTACACTGTAAGTCCACTAACTTGCACAATTCCAAAATGTGAATCAGTATGAAAATTCATCAAGTTTTGAATGCACATACTCAGATACAACAGCTTATGCATTTTAATCTGCAGGCATAACAAAGGTTTTTGTTAGAGTCTTCAACACTGGGGATGGCAGAAATAAAAGAGATAATCTGAAAGCGAAATAATTCAATTTTATGAGAAGCTCTGCAGTGTCTGTTTGTTAAGAGGAAATACTTTTAGTATTACATCTGTAGTCTTCCACTGGGTATTTAAAAAGGGCAGCAAGGGTCAGTGTCTGGTGTACAGAAAAGGAGACTGGCTAGAAGACATATTAGAAGAAATTAATATTGGCAATGAACATATTTGCCCAAGATTTGTCAGCAGATAGATGTCTTGGTTGTACCCGAAAAAAAAAAAAAAATCAATTCAATGAGCAAAATCTAACTTCTAATAAATTTGTTTTAAAAATAAGAAGGACCACACCTCATTCTGGTTTAATATTTTCCGGTAATCTGTACTGCGTGCAAGTATTGTGACTCGAATTTTCCCATCCTAAAAAGAAAGCAGCAGCAGTGTATTAGCTATGAGGCAGACCTCACAAAAAAAAAAAACCAAAAAAACCCCACAAAACACACAGAAAAAAAACTCGACAAACCCCCAAACACTTCCACATTTACTTTTAGCAATTATTTGCGCAACTAAATATGTTCCTTCCCATGTAATAGATGATGTAACCCTTAAAATTCACATTGTATTTTCCAACAGATGAAAAGTGTGTCAAAATCTTTGTGAAAGTCTATTAACAAAGAATAAAACATTTTCTGAAAAATTTATTTTATTCAATACAAAACAGCCTCTGTATTACACATTATATGGCAGTTCTGGAAAGCAGGAAAGCAGCTTTCAGGATGGCTTGTGCACAAGATCCTTGGAAAAAAATATCTTACTTCTGTAACAGTTCCTCCTTTTACCTCTTTAAATTAATTGGACTCACTGGGGTAAATGTTCTAAGTGAAATAAAGAGATTTAACTGCATGACTCCCATTAGTGTCAGCAGGAGAAGCGTAACTAAATGCCTGTGCAGTGCTTTGAACGTGTGCCTCAGCGATAACGTGCAAGCTACTCTCTAGCAAACACTTCCAAGAAGCCCAGGACTGCCATATCCATCAATGCAGCCACTGCAACAACCTGCAAAAACTACCAGCGTGTACGACAGAGAAGCTCAGGGCCAGACAGATAGTACTGGGCAGGGATCAGAAGGACCAGATTCAATCATTTCCTTCTCTGATCTGAGCTCAGCAGCACCTAAGAGGATCAATAAAGAGCAAGCTCGCTGCATTGCTCTGTGGGATCCCCTCTGCTAGACCCAAGGGTAGCTCCTTGTCAGCATGCTCCAGAAGAGACCGTGCACCACGTATCCTGCTTAACTAGGCAGGACACAAAGACCTTGAGCACAGAGAATGGAGATGGGGAACAGATCCTAGGGTCAGGAGGAGGTTGTTCGAAACTGTGTCCTATGGAAATAAGACATGAGGGCAACTTTCTTTCACAAACATACACAAATGTTTGCTGAAGCCTTTATAGAAGAGGCTGACTTACTGGAAAAAAAAAGTCCCGAGCATCACAGGAAAGGACAAAAAGTGCACAATATGCCCTTATGCCCCACTGGGTCCAGCTTGCTAATGCTGTTTCTCTGGTAAGAGCCATCAGCTCCATATGACAACTTTATTATCCAGTTATCATACCTTTGGTCCTTCTTGTGTGATATTTAATCTGTGTAACACGTGCTGAGAAAATGCTCTAAATAGCCCTGTACTGTGACAGCCAGAGATCTGAAATTAAGAAAGCAATTGTTAATACAAAAAGTTTGTTGCTCAGAAAACCTCTCTTTGTGATCAGTCTCTTGCCATTCTTGTGGAACAAAGGCCAGGTATGATGCACTGCGCTAAACACGTCACTATTCACCACAAGTGGTACTTTCATTTAGAAAGAAATATAACTGTTTCCACAGTGTTACAGCCTTAAAGAATGAGCTAATACTCCCAGGAAAGTCTGTCAGCACACAAGTCCTTGTGCTCTGCAAAAATACCAGTAAGTTCAGAGTGCCCACCCATTAAAGAGGAGTAACATGCATCTCATGAACTGCAACAAAGGAGATTGCACACAAACAGCTAAAGGAACTTCAAAATCTTCATCTTTAGGGAAGATCACTTCATTTGGAGTTGCACAGACTTTCAAGGCAGTACATTTCATGATAACTCAGCTAGATATTTGAGAGATTCAGTAGCTCAGATTTTATATTGTCACAGACACATCTAGGTAACACCGCGGATGGATAAAAAGGACTCACCAATGGTGTGTTATAAAACAAGCCATATCGCATGCGAGGCAGTAACGAGAAGACTGCTTCTTTAAAGCATACCTGCAAAGGAAGATCACAAGAAGTTACACGGCACTGCTACCTTCCGCTGGCACATCCCACGCTCATTCAGTGGGACACTGCTTATAATGAGCTAGCAATTACATGCTCCTGTCAAGAACATCCTGCTTCCTTGACAGTGCAAATGAATAGAACAAAGACAATCCTCATCCCAAAAGAGCTCTCACTTAGGGTGGTACAGATGCAAGTGTGGGAAGAGGTAAATAAACCACCCCCAAAACAGAACAAGCATGAACTAAGTAGAAGAAAACCAGTTAGACAGTGGAGAGTTTAAGACAGGCTTTAAGGGACTGAAGAGACTAAAATAAGCTCTGAATGAATAGGTACATTTTTTGGTGAGAGTAAAAATTTTTTTAATGATAAGCAGCAGGTATACTAACAGCTGCAGGGGAAGATAAACACTTCAGTAGGAATCAGAAGACTTAGAAAGACAGTACCATTTGAAAACCCCTGATTTCAGTAGTGGGTCCTGCAGAAATGAAACCAATACATAAATATCACCTCTCAGAAGACACAAAAGTTAGGTCCATCTATATAAAGCATAGACACACCACAGAATTAAGTTACAGCTTGGTCTCTTGTTTATAAGGTAGAATACTCATATTACGCAAATTAAACATGCATGGGAAGTATTAAAGCTTTCCTCTGAAACACCCATATCCACAAGTGGCTTGAGAAGCTGTCATATTCACTACCTAGCAACTACGAATTAAAACAAAATATAAAATTCCATACCCTTTTAGAGTCAAAGGTTTTCAAGTGTATTATTTCATAGTCAGTAAATGCCTTCCATGTCTCACTGAACAGGTCACCATAGCCATATGAGCTCTGGGAGGAAAGGAAAAAAACACAAGGGCATAACGATTACATAAACGCATATAAAAACCCTCTTCATGATTTACGAGTTCTGTATACGAGTTTTAACATACAGTTTATATGCACATCACCACCACGGGACCTAAGAAAGCCTAGCACAGAGCACAGACACTACAGAATGTCAAACCCTGCGTTTACAATAGCAGCTAACTCAAATTACCTGTCAGGTAGTTAATTTTTAATAAAACAGTTCTATAAATTAGCAATCTAGACAAGTTCTTCAGCAGCAAATGAGAATTTCTGAGTTAGGAGCAAGGAGTACCTACTACTTTCCCCAAAGACAACTGAACAAAAGTTAAATTTGAAGTAACAGAAGCATAGGGATGGTAGAAGGCATGAACCTTGACTCCCGAGACTAAAAAAATCACCTGGGAATTCAAGTGCAGCAGTAATGTTTGCAGTAAAAGGTCCCAACAAGCCTGTTTCACATTTGCCTCTGTTTTGAGATGGTCACTTACACGACAAATCGAAGGCAATGATCTGATTTGATGGAAGGAAGTGCCAGGAAACTATTTTTGCATTACTTTGACAAGCGACCAAGAAGCTTCTCTACAGGGCAGTATAAAACTTCACCCTTTGCAGCAACGCTCTGTGGAACCTTTAAGAACCATCTACTCCCTGCAGCATTGGCCTAGCAGCCGGGGCTCCTGCCTTCAAACTTTTAACATTTCCTACATATCTGAGGGCTAAGAGTCACCATCTCTTGCTCTTTGAACGCAATTAAATATGACCTCAGTAGCCCTGGTACGGATCCTTGCTTAAAGCTTCCCTTCAACTCCGGAGCTGGTTCAGGCTGCTGGGAAAGTTACGTGGAAATATTCTCAACAAGAAATTTGAGACTAAGACTACAAATGACTGCAGAAGAGAGCAGACATCTAGTGAAATGTAAAAGAATCTAAAGGGCACCAGATTTCCTCCATCTGAAAAGGTGCTTCCTATTCCTTCTTCTGCCATTAAGTTTTAATGAATTATACAATCCGTACTACTTTCTGGCCATCTGTATTACAAAAAACTGCTCTTTCAGATTAGGAGGAGAGAACTGATCTTCAGAGCTGTAAGTACTACTTTCTAACCCTATCTGCTCTCCTTAGAAGTGCTTTATAAACATTGCTTTCCTGCATTTGCAGAGACAGTCTGCAAATCAACACCCAGTGGATTTCCTCCTCATTTTCTGCTTTGTTTAACCTCCATCTAAGGGCATTACTGTTTAATAAGAACAGTGCACTGATTCTACAGTAGCTAGAAAGGATGGCCAAATCTAATCACATCAAGGTGAAAAAAAAAAAAAAGAGAGAAAATGCATACTAAGTCCATCTTTCGATCAGCACAGACAGTTCAGCAGCAGTGAGCTGGTGCCATCACCTGGTTGTACACAGCAAAGAACTCGAGCAGGTTGAGATGAAGACTCATTTAAAACGATAGTGCTGTGACAGTACTTACTTTGAATGGTACATTTGAAACAGTTGTTTGATTCAATAATATAAGAAAAAAGAGTTGCTTTTCAAGGTATTTACAGTGCTGTCCGACATATCTGATCTTTTCAGAAAGTCGTAACAGGTCCCTGTATAACATCTAGAGAGCTTGCTTATCTGGCAGGCACATTTATTTCAGCTTTCAGAATGTAAGAGAACTAGAAAAAAGGGTCTCCTCCAGCCAAAGAGGTTTCTCATTAAATAGCAAGCAGGGGACATTTACAGTTCTCTGTTGAATATAAGTTGTCCTAGCAGTAAACACTCAGAAAGAAAACCCAGTATTTTATGAGAACAAGGCAGGCACGGGACAATATCATAGTCAAGAACTACGTTATTTCTGGACCTGATTATACATGTTATCTGTTACAAATTGCCTAGTCTTTCGTTGTTTAGTTTAACACTCTCCTACACAACTTAAATACTGGCCAGTAAAACTAATATTACTCTTAAACATAGCCATGGTTGCAACTCAGCAGTACAGCAGAAATAGCTCTACTCAAAAACTTGGTTTATACGTCGTCGTGGCATTCTAGGTGATTGAGAGAAGTAACTGCAAGAAGGCTATTTAAAGGAATTAATTATTAGACCCTGTTTTGATATATAAGGATTTCATTTAGTTGCTTTCTTTATTACAGGCTGCACGTTACTGATTTTGAAAGACACAAGGCTGCATTTCTTTTTAAATATGGAAGAAACGGTTTTGAGTAAATCTACTTCAGTATTCTCAGAGAAAAAACTCTACAGAAACACCATGAAATGTTCAAATGCCACATATTAGAAATACAGATTGTGTTATTTTTGAGGTCACACCAAAGAAAGGCATAATTATGTACTAGCAAAAGATAAGCTATGGAATACTGTTCAAACAGCACATGGTTTATTGTAGAAAATCTGTTATCTAACTATTTCATGCACCTGTATTAACAAGACCCGAAAACTTATCAGTTCCACATGGCTAAGCCCACAACAAAGCTAAGGATTGGCTACTGAGAGCTTCAGAGTCTCTATAAAGCAGAAACACAACCCATTACAAACCGGTTAAAAGCACAGCAGACTTACAGTGTCCCACATGACTATGTTGACATCAGTACTGAAGGAATTATTAATATGCTGGGTAATATAAAGATTGACGAAATCACAGAAGTGATGGTACATATTAACACCTGAGAAAGAAAGAATTGTTAGCAAAATGCTACATTACTTGCTCCACTTTCTACTGGTTCATGCATTTTGTCCTTAGTATCCTGAATTTTATATTACCTTTCCCCTGTTCCTGACTGAATGCTTCCTATACACCTTAAAAAAGCAAAACTTCAAAGGGAAGGAATCAAGGTAAGAAACCTGAAGAAAAAAATGTGTTTTTAAGAAGTTCAGAGAAATTAGAAGAGCGGCCAAAAGACAGCACAAGAAAAAGAAAAGTTTCACGTGCTATTCCTCGTTACGGTTTCTGAAGTACAGCTGCTTTCTGAAGTACATGAAAGCAACTACTGCTTTAACAATAGTTAGTTAGACATAAAGGAAACGTTAAAAACAGGCCTTCGGCACTGATCTTAGTTCTGCTTTGTGAGGGATAAGAGAAGCTCTGTCTGCAGGACTACAAGACAGAACTTGTACTTGCACACGAGCCAAAGCCCGAGTAATTCCTCAGCTTTTTTCTCAGTGTGTTCTTGTTCATTCTTGGTTTCTTAAGCGAATACCTTGAGACTATGGAGCATAAAAAACTACCATGAAACAAAGGAGGTAACATAGTCCAGTTTTCCTGCTAGTGAAGACCAGATCTGGTTTGGAACTATGTGCACACAACCCCTGACCAAAGAACACTGCCATGATAGGAACGAGCTGCTGGGCTTCCTGTACGGCTCAAACTGCAATTTTCTCCCATCTCCCCCAAAACAAAGGAGCCGGACAAAATCACCTCCTGAGCCACAGCTAGATCACCCTACTCAAAGGTACAAATTTACCATGGAAGAATCGCTATGCTGTCACTGTTCAGGGGCCTGCAACAAGTTTGCTTAAAATACAGGATACTGGCCTGCAGGGGAAGAGGGGCAACCCAGTTTACAGTTGCAGTATGTCACAGCGTCAGAACGCAGCAGACAGCTATCCAGTTTAAACCACAGCTTACCCCACAACAGCTTGTTTGTACGTCTACAACCTGAACACTCCCTTTCATTAGCATTTATTTGTCTGCAAGATATGCTGCATGAACAAAAAATGTTGGTGAACTTCAAAAAATGTTAAAGAGACCACTGGCTGATTCTCAAAGATGCTCAGGTGCTGCCTTTCTCCTGAATTTTGGTATAGTGTTGCACAGCATTCACCACAGCTCTCTAATGAGAGAGCTAGTTTCTTCCTGTAGTGGCTTCTCACCTAAATTTGAAACTTTTAAGATTAAAACAGGGTTGTGTTTAGTTTTATGTGTTTTGGCTTTTCTGAGGTGGGTGACAAGAAGTATTTTAATCAACTAAACAAACTTATTCCCTTGAACTTTGTCTTTGAATACTGCTTCCTCCTCCATATAACTCAATACACATAGAATCCTCAATTACTGTGAGAATCCTTACATTCTGTGAGACACTTATACCCATACCTTGTGTTTCCTGGTATGAAAACTGTCATCCAGAAACACAGTCAAAAATCAAAAACTCTGTACAGAAGAGTCTTTGGCACAAAGTCAGACTTCGTCAAAACACAGTCAAGAGTCAATGACTGTGCAAAACAAGCAGCAGGAAATTTTTTCTGATTTGTTCATTTATTTATTATCTGTGGCAAAATGTATGGATTTAAATCTAAGTTTCCAAGTTCATCAGTGGAACTACTGAAAAAAGGAATTCAAAAGTCACATCGTTTTTCAAAACCTAAAATACATTACAAGCGAACTTGACCATCAATAAGGCATAATGTAGTCTTGGATATTGGGTCTTTTTACTGCAGTACTGTAGGATAAAAAAACTAAACTGAAGACAACAATTACCTGCATCTAATTTCATGAAGTATGTTGGCTTTTCGATAACAACATCACACTTCTCATCTTCTAGAGGCCTGAAGTTTAAAGCTGTAAATGTCTGGAGTTCTGCAAACCTACAGAGAATCAAACACACAGAACACGCTTTAGCATTAACACACTTAAACAAATGTACCTCATACATCTAAGATTTAATAACTGTTCACCCAGTCCAATTGATTTAACAGGACTGCTGAAAGCTGATAGAGTCTGACAATTAAAATAATGTGAAATTGTAATGGAAAGTTCTTTAGGTTGTGAGCTTCAAGAGGTTAAACACCGCCTTTGATCTCAGGAGCCAACAGCATCTTTGATCTACAAATGAAGGCAGCAGAGAGGTAACAAAGAGCCTGGATCTGTGGGTCTATCTAACTTGATCTGCATTGCCAAAGACACTTCAGCAAGACCTTCATGCTTTGGCCAGAATAACAAATGTAGATGCAATATTTATTACTCCTGGATCTAAACAAGTATGAGCAGTTGAGACGACAAGAGCAGGCGAAGAAGAAAAGTCTTGTCCTCCTCTGCAGCTATTCTTAACTGAAATTGACCACCAATGCAAAATGAGAAAAAAATGAAAACATGAGAAAAGCATAAAAATTAATTCTTACATGGACTTTAATGGCTCATATTCCTTCATGTTTCATCAATGCAGCTTTGACGTGCTAACACGCAAGCCATGATACCTAACCAGCCACCACAAAGCACCCTCTACTCGTCCTGTAGACTGTTGCCCATTTCACATTCCAAACACAGGGTTCCTGAGAACACTGTACGAATGTATATCCAGATCAGAGTCACTGCATTAGCCCCAACACTACCAAGGACTGTGTGAACTAAGACACAAGTGCAAACTTGGAGGCATTTCTCAATATTTGTCCCCTTCTATAGGCAGATCAGGCGTCCAACCAGCATCTTGTCCAGAAAACACCTGAAGGTTACAACTTCAAATTACAAGACATTTTCAGATCTTTTGATGCTGTAAATTAGGCAGGACACAACTACACATAGCATAGTTCAGAACATTCTGCATAGATGTAATTACCATAGGTATCTTATATGAACTCTCAAACTGACCTTTGAAAGGAGCAACTGTTTCCTCAGTATGAAATCCGCCCCCCCAGCTGCCAGTGCCAATGAACAAAATTAAAAAGTAAACCTGGAAGCAGCCTTGACAAGTGGTTCTTACCAAGACTGCAGAGGGCTCTTGCGCTGACCTTCAGCCAAAAATGCTTGAATGTCGAGGGTGCAATGACCTCCAATTTCTCCCTTCTGCAAAAAGTCTTCTTTGAATCTAATGCAAAAGAATAAAAGTCTGTCAGTTTTTGTGCAACAGTGCTACAAGTGCTCTGCAATCTCAGTCTCAAGCCAGTGCTAATCTCAATTCAGCAAGGTACTTCATACATATTTAAAACCTGAGTATTTTCTTTAGCATAAATCAAGCATTTCCCACAATTCCCAAATATAGTGGTGTCCTTGGAGCTCTACGTATCAATTTAGAATACAGCAGTATTGTTATTAGGAATAATTTTCACAGACCCAAATGAGAAATTTAATCAGATTTTGCTACATGATTACTTACAGGAGCATCATTAGTTGGGGTTTTTGTTTGGTTTTTTGGTTTGGTTTGTTTTTTTAGTAACAATTTCTCACTGAAATTCACCTCAGACTTCACAACTCAGTTAGCAACCTAAGAATTTCATACAACATACAAGAAGTGAGGTGCAAGAACAGATTTCATAAAAACAAACTGCCAGCTAAAAGCACTGTCTAAACTAGCTTTTAGGACAGGCTGCGAAGATGACAAAACTCATTCTGAAGGGTATGAGCGTCACAGTCATGAACCAGCTCTTTTCAAGTCACATGCCCAAGGCACTGACTTCAAAGACAAGGCAGAAGGAAAAATGAGTGATGTCAGCATCAGTGGTACAGTTTTTTTGGCTAGTTTTCCAATACGTAGCATTTTAATTTGGGATGTGGGAGATCCAGATTCAGATCTCTCTTCAGTTTCAGAATCTAAAAATGCAATTCCTGGCACCTAGCAAAGGAAAGGTCCTCTTGGTGCCTCGTAAAAAAAGCAATTCTACTTTGCACATCACCTGATCAAGAAAGGATGTGACTCAAGACACAGAAAAGTCTTCCTCTCTTCTACCAGAAGAAAAAAAAAAAATTAGAGCTTAGGTTTTTAAACAACCCGTACTGCTGACAGCAGCAGCAGACAGCAATCAAGAGGTGTAGTTCTCAACAGGACTTCAGTAAAAAGCCGCT